ATCTTTATTTTTATATCCAAATAAGTGTTCTTGATACTAGAGTGTACGGAAGAAAAAGGTAGGAATTTTTGTTATCAAAGTTTTTTTTTTTTTTCCCAGTAGCAGGGATTGAACTCAGGACCTTGCGTTTGCCAGGCAGGAACTTATGCTACTGAGCTAAATCCCCAGCCCTGTTAACAAAGTTCTATATAAGATCCAGCAGTTCGTGGAGATGGGAGTGAGCAACTGATTCTTCAGTATGATGCGGTAACTGCCAGAGTTGGAACTGTGTCCTTTCTCTGGCTCAGGTGTGTCACTTGGCTCCTGTGACTCAACCAAGCCTCTGTGCTACAAAATGAAAATGTGTGAACTTCCTCTTGCACCTACGAATTCGTAAGTTGCTCTCTGAGAGAGGCACATATCATGTCCATTTGATGTACTTGGCTGCAAACAAAACAAACTGACCAGCTAGCATAAGCAGCAATAAAATCTATTGGGAAGAACAGTGAAAGAAACAGAAACTAGGAGAAAACTGGATTTGCAGATTCTAAAAAAGAAGCAGCTTCCATGTTATGAGGAAATAATGACCACTTTCTTCTGGGAGCCCATGGCCATGTCAGTCTTCGTAATATTTAACTCAAAATTCATATTCCCAAAGAAAAAGTCCCACAAGCATACCTTGGCCCATCCTTGGCTAGAGAAACTCAAGCTTTTTGATTTAAAGTTTTGCTAAACTTCATGAAGAGAAGTATTTATGCCCAAGAACAAGGGTCTATTGTTAAGTAGATTAGATTAATTAGAAATTAGATTATTTTAAATTCCATTTAGAAAAGAATTGATTTGAAAGAACAAAGGAAGTACAAGCACTGAGCCTATAATAGACCACCTAATATCCCATAGCACTAGAATTTTTTTAATATGAGCACGTTTTTGTGGAACCTAGCACTAATATTAAAAATGCAATTCTTATCCAAGGAGTGAAAAATAACAGCCGTGATGAAGACAAACGGTGATTCCATAGAAATTAGGTTACAGCATGTTCCATACTTGTGTCAGTAGATTTGCCTGAAAGTAGTGGAAATAGGAAAGGAAGTAAATGTATATACTCTATGTGCTGGATTTTTCTAAAACTTGACAATGTGGACATACTGTTTATGTCAACAGAACCTACATTTAAAGATGATAATATTACTTTACCTGACAAATTTCTCTTCTTGAAATTTGCCCCTGAATCCTATCACCAGAGAAACACTGCTTTGAGAGAAATTTTGTCTCTTCTTCCATTTTCACATTCAACGCTTGAGATGTTCAGTTGCTTGTATGTTTGTTAGTGTACAAATGCCCCAATAAATGTAACCACTTATCAACAAAGCATTATGTGCAATACTAGTTGAACGTCGCTGTTCCTCAAAGGAGGTAGCAAGGACATCCATCTACATTGTGGTGAGCTAGAAATCAAGCAGAGGAGCCCACGAGTCAGAAAAGAGGCCCAGAGAAGAAAAACGCTGGAAACAGGAAGATTCCCTGAGGCGCCCTCTTCTGAAAGAGGAAATGAGCTCTCTCCTCTCCCCACTGAGACATGCGGTTGATTAAACTGAGCAACTACTATGTACAAAACAGTTGTACTTAGGGCTGGGGATTTAGCTCAGCTGCAAAGCACCTGCCTGGCAAGTGCAAGGTCGTGAGTTTGGTTCCTGGTACCGGAGAAAAACCAAAATAAAAAAAAATAAAAAAAACAGTTGTACTCCTTGAGTTACCACAGAACCTGCTCCAGAATATTTGAATTTATATTTTGCTTTTGTTTGAAATATAAACCAAATATTTTAAGTGATATGACAAATTATGAGCTGTTTTTGAGGTACCCATCACTGAGCTATACTCCATCCCCAGTCATTCTAAAATCTCTGCATGTTTGCTCATTTACTTATTTACTTTGACACATGGTCTCCCTAAGTCCTAAACTGTCCAAGTTGTCTCAAACTTGCAATTCTCCTGCCTCTGCCACCCAGAGTACCAGGTTTAGAGGCACGCCCCCCTATACCTGGGTAAATTATTACCTTTCTCAGACCTCAATTATGTGAGTACTTCTTTGATTTGATTTAAAATTATTGGTTATATCATAAAAATTATCAATTCATCAGAATCCTCCATTTTTAAGTATATGTTCACATAATCTATTGCTTTAGTAAACCATAGAAAACATTTCCATTTTTCCCACCTCTGTTATAAATCTCGTTTCATTGCTTTGCAATACATTACAAAATACAACTTGTTATGAAATAGTCTGAATTTCTTTGGGCAAAATTTTCTTTGTGTCATTGAATTTAATTGAAAGATAACAAGTTTACACCAAAACACACAGATCATGCTTAAGACTGTCTTTGTAATGCTTAAATACCCTCTTATTAGTGAACAAAACAGGCAACCCTTCATTTGGGTATATATTTTGACAATCGGTTTTCTACACTAAATTACCTGATTATTTAGTTTTGTCACAGTAACAATACATTTTTTATTAAAGACCTATAACTCATAGTAAAAAAGAAAATGTGCTTATATAAAAATATATAGGAAAAACTTTAAATTACTTAGGAATAAAGATGTGGTATAAAATAATTTCTTATTTAGCTTATTTGGTCACAATAGTAATATCTATTTTCTATTTTAAAAACATGCCACTCATAGTAAAAAGGGAAATGTGCTTACACAAAAATATATTTAGAGGGCGAAATGCTCTAAATTACTTAAGGGTAAAGATAACCAGGGTCTATCTAGTCTTAAAGTTTAGTTTGGTAGTCATAACATGCATTGTTTAGATCACTATTGTCAGCCATACAGTGAAATCAAGTAAAATTTCAGTTTTAAAAGCAAAGCCAAAGAAGAAGTCTAGCAACAGTTGTAAAGTTACAAATAATTTTAATGTAACTTCCAACTTGGAAGAGAAGTGTATTTACCGGTGGAACATTCCAAACTAAATCGCCCCAGGGCTAAGCGGGAGTGCCGTGATCTGTTGTAGTTTTCTTCCATCTGTCTCTCACTGTCTAGATTTTGATTTCAGACTTGTCATTTCCTCTTTCTCAGTAGTACACTTTTTTGACAGTAGAGGGCACTTTGAATTTAGACAAAGCCCAAGGCATCCAAATCTTCATTGAGAGCTTTTGTTTGACTATAAAGAAATAAAACAAAATTTTAGGTTTTATTTTAAATAATGCATATTTCTTAACTATGTGGTACAAAAATATATTTCTATTATGTTAAATCTGTTGCTTATTATATAGAGTTTTATAAAAATACCATAATGTCAAATTTATGTGATATCAGGGTCTAGAAAGTATCATTAATATAGTAATATAATAAGCAAATTATGACCAATCAATGAACAAAAAATCTTTGATTTTTCTGGAATAGAAGCAGCCCATAAAGAACAAAACCTCACTGCATATTAATTGAAACATCAAAAACTACATCACAGTCCTAAAAATCACAGACTAAAAGTGTATCTGAATGAAATCAGAGACAAAAATTCTGTTTACTCAGCTCACCACAGAAATAGGAACATTTCATGCCTCCTTTTTTAAAGCTTTTTAAAGCCTATTCTTAACAAAATGTGAACTTTCAATTCATCTCATATTTTATAAACCTTCCTTTAATCTCCCATTGATAAATAGTATTGAAATGATCTGGTAATTGATTATTTTAATTGTTTTTAAGAAAATCCTTTTCAAATTTTTGTGAAGTGCTTCCATACATTGATGAAATTTATATAAAATAATTTGAATTTAAATGTAATAAGATTATTTTTTCTTAACAGAGATGAATAACTTGATCCCATTCATGTATGTGACAAATGCAGTCTTATTTGTAAATATTCCACATCCTTTCAAATTACTAAAAAATAAATCTATCAGGTGCTAAAATTTCAAGGTAGACTATTACTACTTTACATTCCTTTAATGACTCATTTGAAGTTAAGGTGTTAAGTTCTTTCATCCTAAAAAGATATTTCATTTCCCCCTTTAGTTGAAACCAATTACTACCCTTACACCAGTTGAAAATGTGAAGTTTGACCAATTTGTTCAGTCCCACCAAAAATGTGCTTTCTGAATGTTAATTGAGAGTGTAGTACTTTCCAGACTGCAGAAATGTCCCGTTTTGAGCCCCTGTTATGTTCACAAAGTACATCTATTTAAATCTCCAGCGATTGAACACAGTGTCTAAAATCTTCAGTGTTTAAATATCCAATTCTACAAGTAAATACATAACTGCATGGCAAATTTCACAGATGTGAAACGCTGTGAACTTGAGGGTAGAATATACCGGTCTGGGTAGATAAGTTTAATGAAGGTAGAGGACTGTTATAACTGCCGTACCAAAAATGTACAATTAGTTTTTGCCTAAGTATTTAATAGTTAGAAATCCATATTTTTTAAAAGGCTGAAGGACTTTTTGTTTATCTAAATAGAAAATAAGTTGAATGCTTCCTCTCACCCTGACTTCCAAAAACGTAAGGAAAAATAATATGAAGATGTGTCTCACATATAACCTTGCCCCGTGTAATTTTCCTAAATGAAAAGCAAATAAACAGCAATTGTCACTGCTCTAAATGCACTACCGGAGCATTCCGTCACATTTATCCTTCCTCCCCCCGTCATTTTTTATTGCTGGTAAACTATATATTTGCCACTAACATCGTCTGAGTGGATTTGAGGCAGTGAGTGTAACAGGCTCAAATGGACAGTGCCTATTATCGCTTCCCTTTTCTCTCTTGCCCTTTTATGGCCTATAACTTCATTCAATCTGTAGCTACATTTATGTTCCTTTTACAACAAAAAGGGTCATAATGCTATCTCTGGTAATACTGAAATTGGCTAATTTGTTCATCTTTCCACGCCTTGGGACTGGCCACTGTCTCAAGTTGTGCCTAGGTTTGTCCCCATCAACTTTGAAAATTAAGGTTCTGTTTAGGCACTGGCAATCTCCCCATCGAATAACTTCCTGTTTGCTGAATCAACACGGAGACGGCAGGGAGAGGCCTTGGGTTCCGGACTCCGGGGACGCGCCCTGGAAGCCCAGGGACACCCACCAGAAAGAATCCAGGGGTCACCTGCGAGTACCTAGATGGGAAGGGGACGGATCTGCCAAACCCCAAGATAGGAGAGGGAGCAGCGTGTCAGCTGAGACCGAGAAGGCGAGAGTGAAGGAATGAGCGGAATTTGCTTGCTTCGAAGGTGGGAGCGATGGGAACTCCGGTTCTGACCCCGGTGTGTGCAGGCGGGGAGAGGCCGGGCCTCCCACAGCTGTTCGCGGCGCGCTGGGGAGAACAGGGCTGGTGCCGGCCACGCAGCTGCGTCTGCCTTCTCTGTTGCCCTTGACCCTTATGCTGTTTCTTCCTTGATTTTTGCACCAGCGCCTCTCTCTCTCTCTCTCTTTCTCTCCCTCTCTCTCTTCCCTCCTCTCTCTCTCTCTCCCTCTTGTAAAAGGAGAAAATTCTCTCCACATTCGTCTGGGCTCCTGGGTCCAGGGAGGGAAGGCTAGGGTGGAGTCGCTTAGGTTGCTAACAAAGCTAGCTTCCTGGGGCCTCTCCTGCCTTCCCTCCCGGCTCTGGTTAGCATTTTCCTTCCTGCTGCCGCAGTGCTTTGTCAGCCTGGTGCTGGGAACTAACTCCACTTGGTCTCCTCCTCCTCCTTTCCGATTTTCAAGGGTGCTTCACCCCTCACCCCCTCCAACAAGGAGGAAAAAATACCAAAGGTAAAAGAAAGGGAGGGGATTCTCTAACATAACTTCGTATTTTACTAGGATTCATGTAATAGAAAACAGATCAGTTCAAATCCTGGGACAATAAAATAAAATTCAAATGGACCATTATGGCAGGTTGGGGAGCAATTAACTGCGAATTTGGAGGAGCACTTCTTGAAGATTTTCCTGACCTGCCCATTCATGTTACTTCCCTTTCTAAGATCCTCTTCCCCTTTCAAGGCTAAAAGCTGGGTATGATTTAGCTCATAAAAATATGTCACAGCAATTGGAATTTACCCTTTGACCTTCTACTCCCTGACTGCCACCTCGCCTACACACACACACACAAACACACACACACTGCATTTCACTAGCTAACTCTGTTTTTACCAAACAGATGGCCATGGTACTGGTGAAAATTGCCTTTTTGCACAAGATAAAACTTATAAAACCCTTATGAGATAACCAATTTGCCAACAACAGAGCTCAAAGTCACATTTTTGTGGTTCATATGTGAATTATGAGATAATTTGATTAATAGAGAAAAATCAAATGAATAGAAACGTTATGCCTAGCCACAAAAAAAGAAAACTTCAATAAAGAGCAATCTTTCTATTAACATTTTTCTGTAAGAAATTGTTTTTGCAGATCAGTATGGACTATCATATGCAATATTTAACTTTAGAAAACAATACTTTCAGTGATTCTAGTGGTTATATTTCACACATGTCACGCAGGGGTGGAAAGCCCACTCTAAAATGTCTGAGGAGAGTTTCCTACTTTTTCTAAAAAACCTGTTCACCTTTGCAAATAACTTTTTCTTGCCTTTGTGCAGTGAAAGCCCCATTACCAGCTATGAAAAATAGTGCTAAGTGTTTTGTACAATTTCTTTTTGTGTGTGTGGTGCTCAGAAAGCCAAGAAAATCCACAGAATACTGAATCAGGCCACCAAGGCCAGTTCAAATGCACAGAGAGACACTTTTACTGCGTTATTTGAACTATTACTAAATAAAATGCTTTCTTCCTTGGAACTTGGCAAAGTACTAATTTTCCAAAACATGTACAGGACTTCTGGTGAAAAGTTACAAATAACTTATATATGTGACTACAACAGCAAACCCCTTCAAATTAATGATGTTCTTTTGGCCCTACCCTACATACTAAAAATGGTGCAGAATCCAATCACATATGGGAAATCTGTGATGTCCACGAAGCTTTTGAGCTAGAGCTCTGAGAACATAATGGGTAGGTTAAAATCTTGTTTTCTCCATGAATGTGGTGACTAGAAATGCAAATGAAAACTTTCTGCCAATTCATTACCAGATGCTTAAGTAATGACTGACACATGCAAAAAGAGCAAGACGGGTGGAAATTAAATAGCTTTTAACATTATTGTAATTGTCCTTTTTTTTTCCCATTTTTTCAGACATACTCTTGCTCAGTCCACGCTGTCCTCAAACTTACAACCTTCCTGCTTCAGCCTCCCAAGTGTTCAAATTACAGGCCTTTAACACCACACCCTGGTAACTGTGCTTTTTTTTTGAGGTAATTATTTCTCTTCTCAGTGTTTGTGTAACATGCTGCTAATACTGATGTGGCTATACTCAGAGCACAAGATTTACAATCAGAATAACAATCTGTAAAGAATTATGCAAGGTCTTCTCTAAGTTGATAACATTTTCCTGAAATCTAGGGGCAAATCCCGCAACATGTATTCACATTTGGTAATGGAATTTTTATTTGACACAGCATAGAAGATGATAATTTAACAATAGTTTTTCGGTGATGATGATTACTCTTTATTGTTTCTACAGGATGATCATGTTTTAAGAGATTTCTTCTTTTTTTATATTCTCAGGTTTATTTCACATTCTTGGAGCTAAAATCTTAAAGAAAAATCTGCAAAAATACCAGGAAGCTCTTTATCATTGTCACTAGCTTAGTGGTGCTCTGCCATTTTTCTTGAAGCCTGGGCACCAACTGCTGGTTAGAAATACTTTTTGTGGAATTCTTTGTACTTTAAATAAACTAGTACTTCAGGGTCTACCATATGTTCCTCATTCATCTTGAGGTACAATTTTATGAATCATTTTGTAAGTTTTGACTGAAATATTTGCCTCATAAAAGCAATCTTAGCACTCTCTTAACTCATTGCAGTTTTGTTTGTAAAATAAGGCAGAAATTATATTTTAAAGGTTTATTCTATGATTCATCTTACATGAAGAAATAATTCATCTAAAATAGGCTTTTTTGACCCAGTATTAAAAGATCTCCTCCTGGTTTCACATGTCGAACATCATGGAGGGGCAGGTTCTTTTGGCATTTTTTTATCTTAGGTGGTAGAAAAATGTGCACCTGCTTTTCCCATGGAGAGAGATATAATATGATAACCTTCTGATTATATACATAAGCAGAACCTGATCAGCTTCTCTTGTGGTTCGTATTTTAAGGGCAAGTTCCAGTTGGCTTGTGCTAATGCACATATTCATGAATCTCTCCAAACAGGATTCACTGCTCTCCAGGGAACCTTCAAGTATGCATCATTGTTTCAAGAAGTATCTTCATTATAAAACACAGGGACTATAAAAGGTGAATACCATTTGCCACAGTTTAATGTGATCTCTGAGCTGACTTCTTCCACCATGATTTTTTCCTGCCTCTCTCCCTCCCTTCTGACCTCCTGCCCTCCCCATCTCCCTTCCTTCCTTTTTTCTTCCCTTCCTTCCTTCTTTTCCTTCTTCATTTCCTTCCTTCTTTCTTATAACAAATAGAAAAAGTGACACAGGATCATTAAAGATTTTAGGTAGCTGACAAAATAGGAGAAATGCTTCTGCCTTGAAATGCTTTTACTCTCCTTTGCTGTGTTACGTAGGTGGGTAGGAAGCTTAAATCTAAAATCCAAAAATCATTAACTTATACGAATATTTTATTTGGTATGAAGTATCTTATGGACATTTTTGATTGCTGCATGTATAAGTCTCTTGCATTGAGTACGTGAGATCAAATGTGGAGGCGTAGAAAAGTAAAATACAGAAGTAACCACTTTAAGGCAGGCAAAAATAGGTGCAATAGTCAGAACTGTACGCTGGAGACAAGCACACAAACTTTTCTTCTCATTGGTATTACTGTAAATGGAACAACATCCCCAACTGGTCACCAAATATGTATGCTAACGTTTCCCCCTTTCTTCTCTTCACAGTTCTTCCAGAGAACCTGAGGTTTAGGGAGCTCTACTAATGCACATGTTACAAAGAGGCCTTTATTATGAAGGACATGAATAGAGTTCTGAGTGAGACTACAAAAGCCCTATACTGCAAGCGGGTATAATGGGGTGCTTTATAGGGAAGGAACACTGTCCTTTGGGTATGAGGGACAGTTTAATATGACATCTATTGCAAGGGAACAAAGAAGTTATGTAGCTCACAAATTAGTGTATTCATATCCAGATATATTACTGGTGGAGTGTAAAGAATTTGGAATTCAGTGTAAAATGATATTGTCATCCAACATACCACACTGTGGAATGTGACATTCCTTGAATGTAAGTTATATACTGATCAAAATAGATTGTACAAGTCACAAATAACTGACACTGTGTGACTCTATAGCGATTAGCAACCAAAGATAGTAATTCTTAGTGACACTAAAAATAAGATGAAGCATCTATGATTAAGCAGGAAATGACAAATGCAATTCAGAACACTATATATTCAAGTTGTCTTAAGTTTCTCAATGAAAATTAATTAAAGATAGTAGTTTTAAGAGACCTAACAGGAATAGCACATACAACATGGAGTCAGTGATTTATTGTTTCAGGTTAAGTCACCGCTGCAGACAGTCAAATCACAAATCTCTACTGTCTGATATGTGGTGGAGGAAGGAGTGAGAAATGAACAAAAATTCAAGAATTCAATAGTAGACTCTAGTAGAGCCATGTCTTGTGAAGAGGCCAACAAGCAAACTAAAATAATACCTTCCCTATGACTATTGAAATTTTCAAGGGTAAACCAGTGCTATGATGCTACATACACTGGATTACTTTCAACTTCTATTTATTATGAGTTTTATAAGAATTTGATACTGTTGGCCATACAGTCTTATTCCCTTAGCTTCTCCACTTCATTTTGCCCCAAACCCCTCTGTCACTTTTGTCCTCTAACTGGCAGACTCCTCAAAAATAAATATTTATCTCAGGTCTCTCTTCAACCCTTTGGTCTTCCAACTCCAAACCTGCCCGAATGACTTCAACTATTCCTGTGGCTTTAACTGTCTATTTACTGATGAGCTCCCTCCACGCTCTCTCCTCTGAGCTCATATTCATGTAACTCACTATCTTGAAAACCACACTAATTTCTCATATGCACCATGAAATCAGTATGTTTGAACCTGAACTTATATTGTTTTCCCCATCTTCCATACTCAGCCTATTCCCTTTCTGCTCTTTCTTTATCCTGGAATAGCAGCATCCCCTAAACTATTCAGTCAGAAAGCCATGACTCATTCTGGTCTTTCATATTTTTCTACTAGTTACTAGTTTCATCATAAATCTATACAGTATCTCCAACTCCTTTACCACTGTGATGGTGCAAACCATCATGATCTATCATCAGGATCACTATAGACTTCAACTGGTTTCCATGCCTTTGGTTATACTTTCTTTCCTCAAATATTTTCTCCCAAGCATTCTTTCTACAATACATTTCTGGACAAAATAAAGGCATAATTCCCTTATGTAGAATGAAGGAAGCGGCAGTGAACATACACAACATTTTCCACAGCATGATATGGAGACTATTAGCAAATCAATAGTAAATCCCTTGGGTCTATCTTTCATATATGTTTTAAATCATATTCTGTGCATGAATTATAGCAATAGTCTCTGATTTGTCTTCTATTTCAATACTTATTCTAAAACCTATTCTTAAGGTAGTAGAATAATTGCCCTATTGTTTCATTGGTGGTGGTGGTGGTTGTGGTGGTGATGGTGGTGGTGATGATGTTGTTAAGCTTTTCTAAAGTGTTGGCTATCTGACCCAGGACCTTGTTCATACTAGCCAACTGCTTTACCACTGAGTTACATCTAAAGCTGAAAATATTAATAGTTCTTACCCTGTATTGTGTGTCTATCCAAGTCTGCAGTGCCTTTCATTGATTCAAAGTATAGTGAAACTCTTAATGACCTTTCAGAATTTACAAGACCTATCCTTTGTGGAAATTTATTTCATTTCATCTGCTACTAACTTCCTCTAGTTTAACACACGCTGAATATTTAACAACATAGGCTAAGTAAGTTGAGTAAACAGCATCAAGCTGATCTGGCCACATCTAGGATCTACAGCTATCTGGCTTACAGTACTTACACAAATTATTTCATCTCCTTCAGCATCAGTTTCTTCTTCTGTAAAACTAAAATAGAAAGCTCACCTCACAGGGCTGTTGTGAGGAAATTAGACATATAAGATCTTTGCCTGTGACATAAAATGTACTATACAATTTTATATTTCCCCATTTAATTACCTTCTAAACTAATACAAGAAGTATCTCCTACTTGGAAGTAATGTACAATTAATTTTCCTTAGAACAAAAGTTACATTTATTAATTTATGATGCAGTGGTTCATATTATATCCTACATAAAGATTGAATTTCAAAATGAATCTTTGTTTTTAACAAATCCTCAGAAAACTCATTGAGTTGCTTTCATTTGTCATTATAATTTAGAAATATATATAGTTTCATTGTCACCTATAAACTTTCATAGCTTGACTTTTTTAATTGTCTAATTTTTTATGGAAGAAACATTCTGCTATAACACATTGAATCCATTAGATCTACATTGGAATTTATTTAATATGTTGTTGCTAAACTATGGTCAATATAGTCTGGAAGATCTCACTAAAAGTTACAGACTTATAAGCAATGTCATGAACAGCTTCCCACAGATTTAGAGGGAAAGCAGTGGGTCTCTGTTCAAATTCTAACATCACCCTTTACTGGCAACATGACCTTGGGAACACCAATAAATCACTCACAGTTTCCTATGTATAAAACAAAATAAATAAATGATACCAATCTCAGATGAGAGTTTTGATGATTAATCAAAAGATTCAGAAATGGTAGCTCAGAAATTGCATCTAATATAGCACAGATGATAGAAATAATCATAGTCCCAGTAATAGTATCAGTACAATAAGACTAAATTAGTTTTTCTTTCTTTCTTTCTTTCTTTCTTTCTTTCTTTCTTTCTTTCTTTCTTTTATTTAACAATACTGGAGACTAAACCCAGTATTCTCTCACTGAGCTACACCTGCAGCCTTTCCCAACTTTATTTTACTTTTTGTTGTTGTTGTTATTTAATTTTAAGGTGAGGTCTCACTAACGTACCCAGGCTGGACTCCAGCTTGCTATCCTCTTGTCTCAGGCTCCCAGAGTACTGGCATTAAGGTGTGTGCCACCAAGGCCATCTAAGACTAGGATTCTTGAAAAGAATGTTGGATAATCTTAAAAATTCTTTATTATTCTCAACTTCATTATCTTAAGGTAAAATCAAATATTTCTTTACTGGCTGTGTTTTATAATCTTCCCAAGAGAAAAAAAAATAGTAAAAATATGTTATGACAGATTTTATAAACGTAGGGATAGATTTAGAACATTCTTCTGTGGAGTAGAAAATCATGGAATATTATTTAGTAAATACTGAAGAACAATGACAGATAAATCATACTATAAAAACCTGTGCTGTGAGCAGGAGTACTTTTTCCCAGGAGACAGGAAGAATATACAATAGAAAAAATAAATATTAAATTAGCCTCAGATAAAATAGCAGTCGAAAAAAACTAATCACAGAAGCTACCTCTTTTTCTACTTGATTGTGTATGTATATGTATATGTGTACACTTCTCCATATCTCAACTTTTAGTTCATAGGGATAATTAAAATTTGAAATATATTTTCCTAGCAAACTATTAGCAAATCCAAACAATTCTGGGAAAGCAACTGGGTAATCAGAACAATGCCTCAGATAGGAAATGTGTCCATCTTTTCACCAGTGTTTAGAGTAAAGGTCACCGCCAGCCGCACTGCATTTCCCATCTCCTCCCAAAAGGATACATAATCATTAATATGGCAAAGATCTGGGCTATTTAATAATAATGCAATCTGTGTTTTTTCCTTTTTCTTTTTCTTTTTTTTTTTGGTTTTTCTTCAGTACCAGGAATCGAACTCACGACCTTGCGCTTGCCAGGCAGGCGCTGTGCAATCTGTATTTTTTTAACTCTCACCACATACCCAGAAATATTTTACTACCAGATCACACAATTCTTATGAGTGAATCAAGCATCAGATATACTTTTGATCAAGCCAGGAAGTCAGCATGAATGAGATAGAGTTATTCTGAAGACTGAAGATGACACTCAAGCATATTCATTTGAATTCTTCTGAGATTGAAATGCACTGTCATATCTAGAAGGCAACCATGGGAGAGCTTGTGATTTTTAAGCATGTAGGTTCTATTCTCAGCTCCAGCCATGTTTAGTTTCATGCAGCAACACACACACACACACACACACACACACACACACACACACATGCACAAAACCATAACAAACAAAAGTCCCATTCATTGAATACTGATTTTTGCCCTAGTACTCACCAAGTGGGTGTGGGATAAATGACTTATAATGTTTCACTCCATATCACAAGGCAATTGGGAGACAAAGATTGAGTATGATGCTTTAGTTATTTCTTTTACACATATTTATTAAAAGCCTCATATGTATCAAAGAGTATTCTAGGTAATGGAAGCAGATAACTGACCAAAGCAGACATTTCCCCTGCAAACAGAAACATAAGGCAGACCTCGTTGTGTTTATGTCCTAGTTAGTAGAAACAAAGAAATGCAAAATGTATAAGGTATGTACACCTTGGCATGGTGAAATGCAGCTGTATTCCCAGCTACTTTGGAGGCTAAGGCAGGCGGATCCTTTGAACCCAAAGAGCCAGCCTGGATTAAAAAAAAACAAAAACTAATTTCTATATAAAGTGTAGGGGAGAGAAGAAGGATGGAGTTTCAACTTTAAATGTGTTGACCTTGAAAGGACTAAACAAGAAGATGGCAACCCAAGAAAGACTTGAAGAAAATGAGACAGCATTCAGGTAGGTATCTAGAGAAAGACAATTCCAGGAAAGAAGAGCAAATATAAAGACTTCACAAAGTGTACTAGTCACATGCACTGATGTGTGTGAGATGTGGCAAGAATATCCTGTAGCCACTGCAGATTAAGTGACGGCAAAGGCATGAAGAAGTAAAGCCCAGAGAAATGTAAGTGGGGCCCGGCTATTGAGGGTTGTACATAGAATATGACACAGTCTCCTCTGACACCAGACATAGCCCATGTGGCTTCCTCTCTACCAGTGGTTGAAGTGAATTATTTGCCAATACCACTTCAAGCACCACTGAATTCTCATGCATCTTGATACCTTTTTGCTCCAGTTAGAATGATGTTCAGAAGATAAGAAACACAACCAAAACAGCAAATGCTCCTGTGCCTTTTTGCACATGCATAAGTTTGACTCGATCATTAGCATATACATAGATGTTTCTAATCTAAATAACTCCTGCATTATATTTATATAGCTAGAGTCTATTCCTGGCTTACAGCTTGACATACACAGTAAGCAGTAAATGTTTCTTGCCTTGAATTCTATATAAAGATAGGCAATATTGCAAATAATGAAAAATACCACATACTATGAGTGCCATTTACATATATGGAATGTACTGTGTGATTTTTATAACACATTTACCTCATGTCTTAAGCTAGCAATAAACAAAAGATAAAAGTAATAATAAAAATAAAATTAGTTATTTCTTGAGTTCATACGCTTAATAATATTTGGGGAAAATAACTCAAAAGAAGCCTGCTGAGTGGCATTAACTATCTACATAGAGATAATCAAATACTGCTTAGCTATAGATGAAGGGATATCTACAAGAGCGATTTGTTGTGATTTTGAAGAACATCTAAAGCAAGAGGTTTAGGCATAACTTTGAAGTTGCTTATCATAAGCGCTTTAGAAATTATCTGAACCTGTTCGGTCAGAAAATTGGGCTACAAATCCCATGATACTAAATATTTCTCTCAGAAGATATCAAGAATGGATAGGTTTAAATTGGGTTGGAAATTCTGCAAGAACAGCACTTTTTACAATGTTGCAGCATTTCTGACTGATGCCTATCCTAATCCCAGGCCATGCATACATAGCTCTATGAAGTGTGTAGTACCAAGTAAATTACCAAACATTTTGAACATGGAACAGTGACCAAAAATAGGAAAACTCTTGATTTGAAAGAGAGTTAAATTTTTGGAGATTTCTGTATTCAAGCCAAATCTCCCACCTATATATCACATCATAAAAACCTAAACTAAGTAAGGTATCCCTGTAACCTTATTTCAATTTTCACACATATTGTTTTTTGTCTGGGGGCCTATGTGTCATATCACACTTACCTCTCTACCTTCTGCCATGAGCTACAGAGCTCATCACAGCAGTCTCAGCTGGCTGGCTTCATGAGAACCCAAAGGAAAATCATGGGCGTTGGAATGTCTTAGAAGCTTCCCTTCACCGGATCTTCAGGTTGCCTTGCTTGCACACCCAGCTTACCACACAGGGCAGTGTGCTGCTGTCTGTCTAAAGCGTCATTTTAAGAACAAATGGGTTAAAGTTAGTTTGGAGTACAAATTAATATAGTCCTACATTAGCAAGGTCTTCCTTGCATTCATCATTTTTAACTGAGATTGAAATTAAAAATAATTTCCTTGAGAGTGAGAATTAGAAACTCCATTGTTAATCAAATGCATTTAATTATAAAATAATGATTGCTTTGATTAGAAGAAAAATAAGAAAATATTTGAACACTAAGAAACTGCAAGTTGGGAATCATCTTGAAAAAAGGAAAAAATATAGACTAATGAATCTCAGAAAAGCTGAATCCCGAAAGAAAAGGAAACTGTAGTTACTCTTTTCTTGAAAACCTTCTAGGTAGCTGTCATTATGTAAGTAAAGAATTTCATTTGGCAGGCATTTACTCATTTGTGTTGAGCATCTATTTTGTGCCAGCAGTTTTAGTTGTACAGTGGTGATATTCAAATGAAAGGACAGTCTCTCTGCTCAAGAGTGTAGAGTGGAGGCAAACAGAAATTTTTACAAGACAGGTTGATCACGCTACATTTAAAGGAATATTATTATTCTTACAGAAGGCGTGGATTACTTGTTTGAAGGTAAGATTTCCTCGAAATTCTACATTTTAATGTTGCCATACATTCAAGCAAGGTAACATCACTTTATGCAATTTTATTCAGCTTAATGTTAAAGAGAAAAGTAACTTCAAACTCTACAAACCTGACCTGGTTTATAGGCGTATAGGCATTTTGGGGGCAGAGGAAGGTACTTTGTTTTGTCTTGTTTTTGACCTTATATTTTGTTATCCTTCAGGAGCAGCAGTTTTGTTGGTGAGAGATAGCTGGTTTAGATAAAATCTGGTCCTTACTTGGGAGACCATCAATAAAGAGAAAATGAAAGACACTAGGAAAAGGTGTGTGACTCACCTTTTGGGAAAGTAGCTGTTGTTAGTTTCAATTTACTTCAATTAGAAAAGATGTTAGTGCAGATGTTAACCCCATCATTGTGACTTAAGTCTATCTTGGGTAATTACATTCTGCCTACTGAATTTCTCTTCAGGTCCAAAGACATCCTACCTTCTCACCTCCCAATGTTTTGTAAGGCCCCTGCACATAGCTAAATGGAGACAAATTTAACTCTGGTGATGGTTGCTTCAACATGGTACAAACTTGCTCTTTCTGCATAGTATCAGTATAAATTCACTATTAGGGGAAAGGTTTTAGAACATGTAATGTAATAAAGCAAAAGAAGCCATATGGCAATCTTAAGTAAAGATACAAAAAAAAACCAGTCCAATAGAGTAAATTGTCTCTGACAGGGTCTTTGCAGTAATGGGAGATTTTTTAGCTTGCCCTGGTTGCAAGTGTAAGATCATTATCATCAGATCTTTAAAATA